AGGCATCTTAAGAGCAACTCATCTTTGGTTTTCCAAACCAACTATTCATTCCACATAACATAATTTAAAGCCATGATTCTTATCCTTTTCTCAAATGTGAGGGCTGGATATTGTAGATAATTTATCAGGGGCAATCTCCAGTCCTCCTCACTCATCATGGCAAAATTGACATCTATCTCCATCCCTTTAGTCAGAACCGATGGCAAACTTTTCTTTTCTACCTTGATGATTCTCTGTACACAGTCTTCAGGTATTTGTACTCATGTTGCTATCTGGGTCATCTCATTAGCTACAAGGTTTTCTTCCCTTGGAATATGTTCCCAAGTGGCTTCCTTGAATTCTGCCAGGAGATTTCTGTTTTAATACTAGCATGAAATCTCCTAGAATTTCCACAGACTGAACTCCTAATTTTACCAGCATTTCAAGGACTATGATCGAAGCCTCGTATTCTGCTATGTTGTTGGTGCACTGGAAGTCTAGCTGGAATGAATAACAGTGTTTGATTCCTAGTGGATCTTCTAAAACAATTCATGTCCCAGATGCTAAATTGGTTTTAGATCCTTCAAAGTACAACTTCCAGAGGGTAAGATGGACTGAATAAATGGGATTATTGAGATAGGTGTGAGCTCTAGTCAGCAAATCTGCAACAACCTATCCTTTGATGGACTTTTGAGGAACGTATCTGAATGCAAATTCTAACAGGGCCATAGTCCATTTACCAATTCTTCCCCTCAACATTGGTCTTGTTAGCATATTCTTGATTAAATCTGTTCTAGCAATGATGTAGATGGTAAAAGGTCGCATGTAATGTATGAGCTTTATAGCAATAAAGTATAAAGCCAAACAAAGTCTTTCAATTGTAGAATATTTCTTTTCTACCTCTGTTAGAGTTCTGCTTAGGTAAAAGACTGCATGTTCTTTCCCTTCCTTGTTATCTTGAACTAAAAGACTCTCAATGGATACTTCTAATGCAGAAACATATAATTTGGGTGGTTTGCCTCTCTTTGGTAGGGGTAGAATTGGCAGATTTGCGAGATAATGTTTGATTTCCTCAAAAGCATGCTGGTGCTATTTTTCCCATTTCGATGTCTGTTCTTGCTTTAATCTTAACAAGGAGGAGAAATGCTAGATTTTTCAGCAAAATTGGATATGAATCTCCTTAGAAAGTTGATCTTTCCTATGAGACTCTGTAATTCTTTCTTGTTCTGAGGTGGCAAGGCTTCCATGATAGATTTTGCTTTGTTCTTGTCGATTTCTATTCCTCTTTGGTGGATCAAGAAACCTAAGAAATTGCCAGCTTGACCCCAAAAACGCACTTCTTGGGATTCATTTTCAACTTGTGTTGTCTTATTCTTAGGAATACATTTTTTAGATTTGATACATGATCTCCTTTTTCTGGAGATTTAATCACCACATCATCTATGTATACTTCTAGAGAATGACCTATCATGTCATGGAAAATAGAATTCATTACTCTTTGATAAGTGGCTCCTGCATTTCTTAAGCTAAAATGCATTACAGTGTATTCAAAAGCGCCTATATGCCCTAGACACATGAAGGCTGTCTTGTGGATGTCTTCTTCGGCCACCATTATTTGATTGTATCCTGCATTGCCATCCATGAATGATAGCATTTGGTTATGAGTAGCTCCATCCACCAGCATGTCTGCTATAGGCATAGGGTACTCGTCTTTAGGAGATCCTTCATTCAGATTTCTGTAGTCCACACAGATTCTGACTGCCGCTGTTTTTCTTTTAAGAACTGGTACAATATTGAACAACCAATTAGCATAAATGGCTGGCCTGATAAAACCTGCTTTAACCAGTCTTTCTATCTTTTCTTTCATTTTCAGTTCTGTCTCCATAGACATCCTTCTTCTGGCCTGCTTAACTGGTAGGTATCCTTTTTTTTATTGACAAATTGTGCTCCACCAGTCCTCTATCTAGTCCAGGCATTTCATGGTAGTGCCATGCGAAACAGTCTTTGAAATCATGCAAAAGTGCAATGATTTCATCCTCCAATGGCTCTTCTAGTAATGTGCTGATGAAAGTAGTTCTAGGATACTCTCCTGTTCCTAGGTTTATTTCTTGCAAATAATCCTCCAATTCAAGCAGGGAATTATATAGTGTTGTTGGTGCAAATTCCAATTCTTCCTCTTGCAAATTTCCTTCCCGTTCTTCTATGCTCTCATGCATGAATTCTGTCATGTTAATGGTCGGACTATGCATAGAAAGCTTCTTTTCTTCCCAATATACCAACAATCTATTTGTAATGGATCAGATTGTTGCAGCTCGATCCCTTTCTTGCTGGTTTAAGCTAAACATCAGATTTCTAAAGGTTAAGAATGCAAGGCCTATTCCAGTCATCTAGAGAATTGGCCAGACCTTCTTCAATGAGTTTCTGGGTCGTGACACCATAGGGACGGCCATTCTGGCTGACTCCGAAGAAAGTAAAAGGACCAAGGTCATCATAATAATACCTAGCCTCAAAACATAATGTAGATGGCATGAATGGTCGTGGGCCGGCCTCCACTATTTTCATAAAATCCTCTTCATGCCAGAGGCCCAACTATTGGTGTAGAGTGGAAGGAACACATAGACTCTAGTGGATCTAATCTCTGCCAAGCAGTGTATTGTAAGTGGTAAAAGTGGTGTTTACCACGAAAAAGGCAATCTTCAAGTTCCTACTATGACATCTACGTTTAGTATTCCATGAGTCTTAGTCATGCCCCAGCGAAGTTAGTAACTATTAAGCTTGTTGGAATTAGATCTTCTATGTTCTTCCCATTTTAACCAACAATCTGTGGGGCAGAAGATTAATGGATGCACCTCCATCTACCATTACTTTGGGGATAGGAACATCTCAAAGTTTGCAGTTATGAATAAAGGTCTGAGATCTTGGTGGGTTTGGAAAAGCACAGCTATCCTGCGGCCAATTTCATGGCAGTTCTGCCTGTTTTGGTAGTTGGTATTCACTGTCCTGGTGCTTCTTCCATTTTTGCCAGCCTGCACTCGAAAGTTTCTTAGGAGAGTACATCTCCTTCCAAAGTGTTCTCTTGTCTTTCTGTTGCCTTGAACTTTTCTGGCAAGATAAACACCATATTAATGCCTAGATCACCTTGTAACAGGCTTTTTAATTCTGCACCGAAAGCCTCATTTTCTTTATCTAGTTCTCCATCGTACTCTATCTGTTCTTTTCCAGGAGTCCAGTCAAATCGTCTGCAGATGGTTCATAATCCAACTGTTCCTCTTCGTATTCTTCAGTCCAATCTTCTGCCGAAACAGATCTAGATCGATCTTATGATTGTGAAGGTTCCCACTGTTCTTCCGAGGATGGAACTTGGTGGATAGGTGACTTATTTGAAACTTTTGTTTCTGACAGCTCCTGTGGTTGGTGTGTTGCCTATTTGGATTGGAAACTTGCTTTTGAATTTTTCTCGTTTCTGGCAGGACTGACCTCTTGAAGTACCTACGTGTCATCCTTGTTCTTGAGAAATGTGCAATATTGCCTCTGGATTCTCCTCTTTTGTGTTCTAGTTAGCTCCAAAGTTGACCTGCCACTTTTTCCAACAAAATACCATCTGCCTTCTATGATAGTTGCCAATAGCTTATCATTTCTAGGCATTTTAATTGGTATTTCCTTTTTTGGCTACTCAATCACCTTTCTGATATGCTGGGCAGGCAGTTGATAGTTCCTCTGTCTGGCTGTGTCCCTGGATAGGGCCAGGATCGAGCTATGGCAGTATAACGTTCAAATTCTGTCAAAAATGCTAGTTGGAGGCTGTCTTTGTTCATCCAGAGTTATCTCTAACTCACTTTCGCATTTGCACCTGCTGCACAGAACTACCCCAGCTAAGATAGTTGCCTTTGATTTCTGATTTGCCTCCTTTGGTACTCTTCTATTTATCTTGGGGCCGACTTCTGCTACCCACTTGTCTTTCTCCTGTTCTGGCCAGTTTAAGTTAACCCTGCTAACTTGAGATTGGGGAAAAGGGTCTGTGGTTACTGTGGGAGGCTTCTCAGCTAGTTTCAGCCTTTCTGTATGACATCTCTGAAAATAACCCAACTATTGGTGGATTGGTTCCAAGAGTTGTGCCATATGCAATACTGTCTGTCTTTGAGTTCCTCTAGTTTGGGCAACCTGTGAGGTGTCTCTATTGCCTTTTGGAGAAGCATCTCATCAAATAAAGCGTCAACCTTGGTAAAATCGAAAGAATGGACATTGTCCTGTGTTGGTTTGTTTGGAACAAATCCTCTTGTGAATGGTGGTGGCTTATAATTCTTTGGTGGCTTTGTCAAACCCTTGCAACTGATATGATGCTTTACTTTTGCCATTTCTGCCACTGCAACTTCCCTTTCTTCCGAACTTTCTATGCCTTTTTCTGTCTCGACTTCAACCAAATATACTGAGGAAAATGGTGTCTTGTAATATGTGCCTTTTGAGAAGTTTCTTTTTTGTTGTTCTTCCCTAAGCAGTTCCTCATATTTAGATGTCTTGTCTGCCAATTCTGCCAGGTCTCTGAATAGAATCTCATCGAATCTCTTTCTTAGAGAAATCTTGAGGGCAGTTTGAGCCATTTGAATGAAGTGTCTTTCTTCCATAGGAATCCAGCATTTCATTTTGAGCTTTTTGAACCTGGTTATGAAGTCTTAAGCAGGCTCATCTTTACTCTGCTTGAGAGCTGCAAGATCACTGATGGTGACTTCTGGCTGAATCCTAAAATAGTTGTCAAGGAAAGAGTTTTCCATTTATTCCCATGTTTGGATGGAATTAGCTGGTAGGTTAGTGTACTAGGTGAAGGCTTGTCCAGAGAGAGAATTTCCAAAAAGCCTGAGCTTTAGCAGACGACTATTCTCTATGGCTATGCACTAAACAGAGAATCTGCCTATGTGTTCAACTGATGACGCATGGATGTCTTCTCCATTGAACAAAGTGAAGTTTGGTACCTTAAACCCTGGGGATAGAGGCATCTAATCAATATAAACTGGATATGGCTTCCTGTAGGTGAGTCTTTCTCCTCTTTTAGCTTGAGGCTTTATTATTTCTCTGATCATTCTCTGTAATGCCCCCATGCCATTCTGTAGTGCTCCTATTGTTGGCAAAATGGTTGATTCCCCCTTTGCCTCTCCTACCTCTTGTTAGTGGAGGAAATGGATTGGGGTTCATCCTTCTAAGTTTGTAAGGAAATACAGCTGGTTACTCAAGCAAAATTGCTACTGGCTGATCTTGTGGGACCACAGGTCATGGAATAGGTGGAAGTTCTGGCTGGTTCTAGGGCACCTGAACTGGTGTAAGGTCCTCTAGAGGAACTGGGGCTTAGTGTTCTTGATCGGGGAAGGCTCTTTCTCTTTGTCCAGCATGGATTTCTCCTTGTCCCTGGCACTCCAGCTATCTGCACGATGAGAGGATTCTCTTGGTGTGGCCATGCCAATCCTGGTGGAGGTCCAAAATAGAGGTCTAGCTACTGGACCACAACATTTGGGTTTGAAATTCTAGCAATATCGGCCTCACGGTCCTTCCTAAACTACCTGTTGACTTGCCACTGCATCATGGCTGTCATGTTATTTAGAGTATCCTGGCTCCTTTGTGTTGCACCCTCTTGTCGGAGTACAGCATCCTATATCTAGCTCATCCTTCTAGAACCAGATCTGGAACGTCTTCTTCTAGTGCTGCCATGGCTGAATGCCTAGCGTCACTCTCCTCTGATTCATGTCTTTGCTAGAAAGCTACTTGATTTCTTTCCACGCGTTGATTCTGGCTAGAGCTTCCAATATTCATACATCAAGAGATGTCTCATATTAGCACGTATACTGAGAAGTCCCACTGGGCGTGCCAAATTGTTCACCCGTTTTGATTTTAATCCTATGATGGTAGGGTAAAGTTCCTCATTGGCTTGACAACCATTGGCGGTCAACAAGTCAACTTTCTTTTGTGCGTGAGCGTGCCACTACTAGCAGTTTAAAACCCTAGTAGACTTCTAAAAAATAGATAACTTGCACCCTAAGTTACTGACTTTTAAACAAGTAATTGTGAATTTGGGTGAGGAATATCTCCCAAGTAACAGTGAGGTTTAAGGGAAGTCCAATCAGAAATGTCGATTTTTTTTTTTTTTTTTCAAGTGAACAAAAATTTATAAACTAATTATATACAACATACGGACAAAGGGAAGTCCAATCAATCCTGGTAAATAGGTTCGTTCAAAGAAACTGTCTCATCTTCTGGAACACATCTCCCCAAGTAAGATTTAAGTCGTTGGCCATTAACCTTAAAAATATTTCCATTCGTGGAATCCTCAACTTCAACAGTCCCATATGGGAAAACTCTTTTAACAATGAAAGGCCCTGTCCATTTAGTTCTTAATTTTCCAGGAAACAAATGAAGTCTAGAATTATACAAAAGAACAAGTTGAGCAGGCTCAAAATTTTTCCTCAAAATATTTTTATCTTTGAAAAACTTTAGTACGTTCTTTGTAAATTCGTGAGTTCTCATATGCATCATTCCTGACTTCCTCAAGTTCATTCAATTGGAGTTTTATCAAGGTACCTGCATCTCCAAGACTAAAGTTAAACAATTTGATAGCCCAATATGCTTTATGTTCTAATTCAACATGTAAATGACAAGGTTTACCATAAACTAGCCTGTATGGGGACATACCAAGAGGTGATTTGTATGCAGTACGGTATGCCCACAAAGCAGCAGTTAGTCTCAATGACCAATCCTTCCGGGTTGGATTCACCGTCTTTTACAAAATTTACTTGATTTCCCTGTTTGCAAGTTTTGCTTGGCCATTTGTATGTGGATGGTATGGAGTGGAAATCTTATGGGTTATCCCATACATTTTGTCTGTGGATGGTATGGTCGGTT